GATACGATACCAGAGTCTGAGAGAGCTAAAACGGTCAAGAAATTGAACTTTGAAAGACTGCCAAATGAAAGAGCACTTGGTGTTCACTGGAAGGTAGAATTAGATCGTTTGGGACTAGAGATCGAAGTGAAAGAAAAGCCTCTAACAAGACGCAGGATACTATCAGTAATGAGTTCGGTCTACGACCCACTAGGTATTGTCTCTCCAGTTATGTTACCCGTAAAGGTACTGTTGCAAGATCTATGTAAACAAGATATTGGGTGGGACGATCCAATCCCAGTAGAARAGATGATAAAATGGAAGAAATGGCTGGTCGAACTACCTCAACTTTCCAATGTATCTATACCACGTTGCCTAGAACCACCGGATCTGGGTGAAATCTTGTCAAGAAAGTTACATCATTTTGGCGACGCTTCCCAAACGGGTTATGGAGCAGTCTCGTATTTGAGGTCAGAGAACGCCAACGGAGAAATACACGTTTCTTTCTTGRTTGGCAAGTCCCGGCTAGCACCAGTGAAAACAACTACGATACCTCGATTGGAGCTGTCTGCAGCTGTCCTTGCAGTAAAGTCCGATTGCATGCTGRGGGTGGAATTAGACTTACAAGTTCAAGACTCTTTCTTTTGGACGGATTCTACCACAGTACTACGTTACATTTCTAACGAGAAGAAAAGATTCACGACGTTTGTAGCCAACAGAATTGCAGTTATCCGTGAAGTCTCGAGTACTCAACAGTGGAAGTACGTGGATTCAAAGAGTAATCCAGCTGACGATGCCTCAAGAGGCTTAAGCGCAGACGAAATGAAGAATGACGTTAGATGGCTAAACGGACCGGAATTCCTGTGGCAGAAGAGAGATCTATGGCCTATGTTACCCTTTAACTTAACCCAGATTGCCGACGATGACCCAGAGATAAAACGAGAGAAGCAAGTGAATTTGGTCCAAGTAACACAAGAAGATATTTTAAATACCATGTTTAAGGGTTTTTCTTCGTGGCAGCGGCTACGCATCGCTATTGCTTGGTTGATGAGATACAAATGTTTTCTAGTGAACGCTTATCGTTTAAGTCATGGACACAAAAACACCAGAGAATTAAGCTATGATAAGATCAACGTATCAGAGCTGAAAGCAGCCGAACGCGAGATTGTCAAGCACGTACAACGTCAATCCTTTCAGCGAGAGTTGGCTGTTCTTAAATTGCGTGGATGTAGCGAAGGTAATGCAGTAAAGAACGAACTCCATTCCAAAAGGAAAGTGGTTGAAAGATCTAGTCCTATATACAAGTTAGACCCACAACTACGAGATGATATGTTATGCGTTGGAGGACGTCTGAGTAATGCTCCCATTTCAGAAAGAGCCAAACACCCACCAATCCTGCCTAAAA